TAAAGTGATAGAACGGGATCGGAAGCTGTAGGACGACGCAAAATGCAAAAAACATGGTTTTTCCCTATGTTGTTCTATGATTTTTGCCCTGTTGAGCCGCCATCTTGGATTTTCAAAATATGTCACGCCGGTTGAGCCGAGTCAGCAATCTATGTCTCCTATATCTATGTTTATAACTAATAGAGCTATGAAGTATTGCAGTTTATTTGAGATTGTTACCGCTGACCAATGATGAATTTGGAGTGAGAAATTTGAATTTGGAGTGAGAAATTTGAATTTGGAGCAGTGCTTCCATTTTCAAGGAAATTTCCTTTTCTAAGGAAATTCTAGTGTCGAAAAGGAAAATCTAAGGAAGTGAAAAAATCTAAGGAAATCTAAGGATTTTTTCCGAACAACTTAAATATTCATCCAATGGCATTAGTGCAGAAGAAAGTTTCACTATTTCTTGAATTTTTGAGTGAATTATCAATTAGGTTTAATCAAAAATCTGTTTTTAACTTTTCCCTCGTGTTTCCGAAAACTTCCGAAAGTTTTTGAGCGATGGGATTTAGTAACTTTGGCGCCAAACGCTGTGAATAATTAATTTTTTATATCAATGGAAAGGTGTATGTTGTAAACTCATGACAAATATTTAATTTTAAACAGTATAATAGCCTGTGGTTTTTTAGCTAGCAATCATCTTTGTTAGTTGTGCTATTTTGTGCCTTTAAAATTGATTAAATCCTTTGTATTGCTACAAAAGCACTGGAAACCGCCTAATGAAATTTCAAGGAATTTTCAAGGAAATAACGTATAGAATCTAAGGAATTTAGAGAAATTTTGATGAGAAAAATGAGAAATTTTGATTTTGAAAATGGAAGCACTGAATTGGAGTGAGAAATTTGAATTTGGAGTGAGAAATTTGAATTTGGAGTGAGAAATTTGAATTTGGAGTGAGAAATTTGAATTTGGAGTGAGAAATTTGAATTTGGAGTGATGAATTTGAATTTGGAGTGATGAATTTGAATTTGGAGTAAGGAATTTGAATTTGATAACGGATTTTTTAATGACGTTGCCCTTGTGGGCCACCGTACTTACAGTACAGTACGTATACGTATTATTGACAAATCACTCGCAGTGCGTTTCATAGTGTATTTGTAATGCCTAATGGCGCAATAAGGATAAAAATACCACCGCTCGATTCAGCGTTAGAAATTGTACTAATTATAGCCTGCATGGCAGGCGGTATTTCTACGGGCAGCGAAAATTAGGTGAGTAAAGGAAATACCGTCTGCCGCAAAACTAGGGGTTTTTGAATTACCCGTCCGCTGGTGAACGGAAAAAACGGATTGGTTAGTATTTTTATGTAGTTGTCAATCAACGGCTAAATTCGGTTAAATGTTAATCATCAGAGGTTAATCATTAACCAAATGTTTTGACGTTTTGAAATTAGTTCACGTCAAGTCAGACCAGAAATGGAATACCATATTAAATAAAAGAAGCAAATTTAAAGATACAAGCTGAAAAATAACACTCTAAGTAGTGTTTTTGATAGCGATTCGTACAAGAATATTTAACGGAGAAGATACGTCCGAAGGGGCTGAAGTTATGATCAGCGGAAGGTATGGGCTAGTATATTTTCGTTCAGACAATTACATGCGTATTAATTTGATAATATACGATCTCGCTTGACTTTCAAAGACCATAAATCGCAATAATGTTGACATTTTACTAAAACTATCGATAGAAATTAGGAGATATTTCTTCACTGAATCGAACGGTGGGATTTTCATACAGGCCCGTCATGTTCTGAACCAAAGATACTTGATAGATACACGAACCTCCAAAGTATGAACTAGGGGCCGGTTGATGCAGTAATTATCAAATAACAGTTAAACTCTTATATACCCGTTGAATATGTATAGTTGTAAACAAATAAAAACTATCGTTCTATAAGGTTCAAAACTTTCAGTTTGGTTGTTGACTGATGATGAATCTATAGTATAGACTTGCATGCTTTGTATTTTGAGCTTATTAAACCACCATTTTAAGGCAGCTAAACGGGCTTGGTTTTATATTAACACATAAAATAAATTCCTTGATTCTCATCACTAGACACAGTCTACACTTTGAAATGTCAAAGACAAGTGGGAGATTTATTTTTTATATTTTATATTTATATAATTTATATAACAATAGTTCATATATTATGCCTGCCCATTTGTAGCAATATTTAATGTGTTCCTATATATATGCATTCCAAAAATCTTTGTAAAAATTTATGCTAAAATGTCTTTGATTTGAACTGCTTTGTTTGTGAATTTAAACATTTTCAAATAATCATTTAAACTTTTCCAAATAACCATTTAAACTTTTCCAAATAATCATTTAAACTTTTGCAAATAATCATTTAAACTTTTGCAAATAATCATTTAAACTTTTGCAAATAATCATTTAAACTTTTTCAAATAATCATTTAAACTTTTGCAAATAACCATTTAAACTTTTCCAAATAACCATTTAAACTTTTCCAAATAATCATTTAAACTTTTGCAAATAATCATTTAAACTTTTGCAAATAATCATTTAAACTTTTGCAAATAATCATTTAAACTTTTGCAAATAATCATTTAAACTTTTCCAAATAACCATTTAAACTTTTCCAAATAATCATTTAAACTTTTGCAAATAACCATGTAAACTTTTGCAAATAACCATTTAAACTTTTGCAAATAACCATTTAAACTTTTCCAAATAACCATTTAAACTTTTCCAAATAATCATTTAAACTTTTGCAAATAATCATTTAAACTTTTGCAAATAATCATTTAAACTTTTGCAAATAATCATTTAAACTTTTGCCGATAACCATTTAAACTTTTGCCAATAACCATTTAAACTTTTGCAAATAATCATTTAAACTTTTGCAAATAATCATTTAAACTTTTGCAAATAATCATTTAAATTTCCTGGGGCGACTACCCGACGCCGCGGACACTCGGGCGATGCCAGTAAATTAAGATGGCGGACGATGTGGAACATTTCTTAGAGTTTGTCTTAAAAAGGTCCGAAGAAATAAGTTTGCAGGAAAACGAAGGCATTCTCTCTGAACTATTAAAACATATAGATTTGCTTGGTAGGACAGTACAATTACTGGAAGAAATAAGAGATTTTGTTGTGAATGCTGGTGAGCCTGATTCAGGGAAATGGCAGCAATTGGTGAACGTTTATTGTGAAATTGAAAGCGAATTTATTTGTCTCTACAATCGCGAAGCAACTCGAATTACCGTAACATGCCAACTACCGTTGTTAATTGAGGAAACTAAATGTGCTGGCAGACCGGGTTATCACATGGGTAATCTCGCAGTGCTCGGAAGACGCACTGTGATTGGCTGTTAGGTGAAAGGGTTTTCCCTACACGATTTTCGTTTCTCAAAGGCGGAAGTGATTCCAACCGTAATCCTGCCAAAATAGCCGTGACGGTTCCAGTGGGTGCATTGGTTGCAGTGGTTGCATTGGGCGCATTGGGTGCATTGGGCGCAGTGGGTGCATTGCTTGCAATGGTTGCAGTGGTTGCAGTAGGTGCATTGGGCGCAGTGGGTGCAGTGGGTGCATTGCTTGCAATGGTTGCAGTGGTTGCAGTGGTTGCAGTAGGTGCATTGGGCGCAGTGGGTACATTGCTTGCAATGGTTGCAGTGGTTGCAGTGGTTGCAGTAGGTGCATTGGGCGCAGTGGGTGCATTGCTTGCAATGGTTGCAATGATTGCAGTGGTTGCAGTAGGTGCATTGGGCGCAGTGGGTGCATTGGGCGCAGTGGGTGCATTGCTTGCAATGGGTGCATTGGTTGCAGTGGTTGCAATGGGTGCATTGGGCGCAGTGGGTGCATTGGGCGCAGTGGGTGCATTGCTCGCAATGGTTGCAGTGGTTGCAGTAGGTGCATTGGGCGCAGTGGGCGCAGTGGGTGCATTGGTTGCAATGGTTGCAGTGGTTGCAGTAGGTGCATTGGGCGCAGTGGGTGCATTGGTTGCAATGGTTGCAGTAGTTGCAATGGGTGCAGTGGTTGCAGTAGGTCCATTGGGCGCAGTGGGTGCATTGCTTGCAATGGTTGCAATGGTTGCAGTGGTTGCAGTAGGTGCATTGGGCGCAGTGGGTGCATTGGGCGCAGTGGGTGCATTGCTTGCAATGGTTGCAATGGTTGCAGGGGTTGCAGTAGGTGCATTGGGCGCAGTGGGTGCATTGGGCGCAGTGGGTGCATTGCTTGCAATGGTTGCAATGGTT